TTGTCAGTTAATAATCACCAGCACGGCTTGCAATAGGCTGTGTGATGGGTGAATTTCATCATGAAGTTTTGCACTTCAAGCCACGTTAGCACAGATTTCCTTTAATCTGGTTTGTATATGCCAACTTCTCTTCAATTCTCTCTCCCCTCCTCTGAACCAGTTTCTCAGTCTGGCCTCTTGCTCTTGAAGTTGATCTATTCAGCTCATCAGTGTTAGTTCTTCATTGTCCTCCTCCACCCCCACCAACTCTTCCACATCCTCCCCACTAACCTCCAACCCCAAGGACTTTCCCAATGCCACAATGGATTCCTCAACTGCACAGATTCTCAGGGTTAGCCTCAACCCCTAAAATCCCTTTTGTCTACACATTCTGGCCACAGTTTTTTCTTCCAGCAGAAGTTCAAGGTCCACGTTTGTCACTTCCTCCACGCCTTACCAATAAGGTTACACACAATTGAGGATATTAAAGTGAGAGCATTTTAAGCTTATAGTCAGTTGAGTTTTTTCTGGAGGTCATTAACAAAGCACCTTTCAAACAGAGCTTTTTGTGTACAGTGTTTTCTTGAAGGTTGGAAAAACCGGCTGGTCCAGTGGGCTGCTGAGAGGAGTGGGGTATTAGAGTCAAAAACTTCACCCTTAATGAACTGCTCATGTCCCCATATGATCGCTCTGTCTGCCACGTCTGTAGATGACCAGGGCATTGTCTAACACCCAGGAGGCACTTAATTTCTAATTTTCTTTTTCAGTTAGGTAATTTTTCACATTGGGGCAAATGCATGGTGTAACCAGTTATAGAAAAATCCCTAGTGGACCCATGCCTTACAGTTTGCCCTCCACAGCACAGAAAAGATTTTCCTTGCGGACAGTCCTTTTGCCTGAACGCTCGGGAGTTTCAGAGTGATACACTAATAAAGGTTTTCTACACTTTAGCAATCACCAGTTAGCATTGGCACAATCAAACAAAGACAAGCCTTCTTTCATAGGCTAATGTCCTGGGAGTGCCTATTTCCTCCTGTAGTAATGTAGGTCCTGCTTGGCATTGTTCATGCACCCCCCCCCAGAAACAGGCCTGTTTCATACACAATTAAAACACTTGTTTCAGGTTTCAGTCCTTCAGTTTCAATGTACTCCTTGAATTCCTGCACATATTTTTCAGCCCGCTTTGGGTGGTACCGAACTAGGCACCTCACCATGGCCATTATCACACCATGGATCCACTTACACGCTTCATAAATCTCCTCAAACCAACCTTTGACTGGCCTTAAAATAATATCCACTCACAACAGTCACCAGTTATCAGGCATTTTATTAATTAAATCCTCATGCCAACTTCCCTAAGCCTTTTTCACATATGAATCTGCTTGAGAGATGCTAACTCCTGCTATCTGTTTTTCATTTACCACAATCCAATAAGAGTCTCTACAACATCTACCATCACTTGCTATCTTTGTTTCGAAAACACAGTTGAACCTTTGGCAATAACAGCTTCCTTTATTGTCTTTTTCTGGTGCCCACAAAGTAGCGAAGGTTTTAATGGGGTTTTACTGAACAGCTTGACTAGGTCGCTATACGCACATCCACTTTTCATACATATCAATTATCTCTTTCTTCATCTCTATATAATTCTTACCCTTTGAGGTGTATGGGTTGGCACTAGAAGCTTTCTTGTGGGCCCATGTCACTTATTTTCCAGAAACAGCACCGAAAATACTGTCATAATACGAATATTCCGATGTACGCTTGATGTTACCGCGGAGGCTGGCAGGTAAACAATGGGATGGGGCCCGGCACATGTGAGGCTGGCAGAGGGCACATTGGACGCGTCTCGGTACAAAATCGTAAGATCGGTTTTTAAATCGTATGCGCGGCAAAAATTTTGCGATAAAGTAATCGTAATGACGGAAAAATCGCTATGGTGATCCATCGTTTATCGGGGGTACACAGTATATACATATACATTCAGACTATACATATATATACATATACCATATATATATATATATATATGGAATATATATATATAGTGTGAGATAAATATAATATATAATATATATATATAAATAGTATAATATATATATATATATATATATTATGTAAATAATACTATATATGTATATATATATAGATATATGTATATATATATATAAATATGTATATATATATATAATAAATATTATATATATATATATATATATATGTATATATATATATAAATATATATTTATGTATATTATGTATATGTAAGTATGTATATATAATATATATATATATATATATATATATATATATATATATTTATATATAATATATATATATATATATATAAATATATATTATAATATATATAGGTAGAAGGTTGGTAACAGCACCACCAGGAAGTCTACCGTCCTGCCAGATGAATGTGAAACAAAAAACCGTAACTGTTTTGAGCATGATGGAAGGATTGCTGGTTTCCTTTTTCTGTCTCATAACAAGCTAGATAATAGGGGAATCTTGGCTACCCCTACTTACACTTTGTCACGACATCACAGACCGCACATGCAATATATATATATACATACATCTTGGTTTATCCTCCTTTTCTAAATAGCTCTTGTTCTTTTTATTTCTTCTATGTCCATGGGGAAGTGAAAAGATGAATCTTCCTCGTAAGCCATGCGTGTCGTATGAGCGACTAAAATGCCGGAGCAAATGGGCTAGTAACCCCTTCCTCCTTATACATTTACTAAAAAAGAAGAAGAAGAAAAACTTTATAAAACTGGATGCTTAAATGTGCGTGATGTAGCGGATGACCATAAACAGATGATTGCTGATGTTATGAATGAAAAGAAAGTTGGATGTCCTGGCTCCTAAGCGATACAAAGCAGAAGGGGGTAGGAGAGTTTCAGTGGGGGGAAATAAATGGGATTAAAACCGGAGTATCTGAGAGAGTTATAGCAAAGGAAGGGGTATCAGTAATGTATAAATGATCAGTTATGGACGAGAAAAGAGAAAATGAATGTGTAATTCAAGAATTATGTGGATTAAAGTAAAGTTTTATGCGAGAATGTGGGTCATGGGAATAACAAGCGTGGAAAAGCACTTTTCGGAGAAGAGAGGAATGCAAGAGAGAGAGAGAATTTGGAGATGTTAAGTGAATGTATAGGAGCCCCTTTGAACGCAAGTTAGAGAGTACTTGTGGTAGGGGACCAGAATTCTAAAGTAGGAGAAACTTTAGAGAGGGTGTGTAAGGAAAGTTTGGGGTATGCCAGGTGAAAATATAATGGAAGCCCTTTGATTGAACTTTGTATAGAAAGGGGATTAAGTTATAGGTAATTCATATTTTAAGAAACAAGAGGATAAATAAGTAAAACACGATATGATGTAGGGCGAAATGACAGTAGAGTTGTTGGATATGTATTGGTAGTATAAAGACTGTTGAGTAGACTTCAGGATGTACATGTTTATAGAGGGGCCACAGATATATCATATCACATTTTCTAGTTGTAGCTACACTGAGATTAAAAGGAAGATGGTATACAAGGAGAGATAAAAGCATCAGGTGGAAATATGAGGTGAAGGTTTTATAAACCTAAATAGAGGATTGCCTTGCAACATCTGCCACATTGCCCCCCTTCTTTCTTATGTTCTTATTTTGCCTCTGGCAAGATAGTGATGGAGTGAATGATGATGTAAGTTTTTCTTTTTCGGGCCACCCTGCCTTGGTGGGAAATGGCCTATGTGTTAATAATAAAACCTATGACCCTATCAAACTATGTTTTTTTAATTACATTACCTAATAGAATACTCCATTCTCTTGAATGGACAGTAACTCATCAAATGACCATATGACCTGTTTCTGCACTACAAATCATTGATTTTATTCGATTTGACCAGATATTATAAATTATTATGCTACAAATTTGTACAACTACAAAGCTTCTTATTTGAAATACTCATTTATACTTCATGTTGTAATTTGTTTACTGTAATTTTTACCACTGAATAAATCATTGCTTAGTTAATCTTAAGTTAATTTTAAGCCTGCCCATAATGCTCTGCATACAAGGGGCTTTGGCATGTACACTCAACCACTGTTTTCTTTGTACAACCATGTATTATGTCCAAATAATAATAAATAAATAAATAAATAAATAAAATAAATAAATAATATAAAAAAATAATAATTCTACTGCTAACTTGAGATATATTAGTGTAAACTTGTTATCTGGCATTTCTTTCATCTTCTTTCAACACACCGGCCGTATCCCACCGAGGCAGGGTGGCCCAAAAGGAAAAACTAAAGTTTCACCTTTTACATTTAGTAATATATACAGGAGAAGAGGTTACTAGCCCCTTGGTCCCGGCATTTTAGTCGCCTCTTACAACATGCATGGCTTATGGAGGAAGAATTCTGTTCCACTTCCTCATGGGGATAAGAGGAAATAAACAAGAATAAGAACTCGAAAGAATATAGAAGAAAACCCAGAGGGGTGTGTATATATATGCTTGTACATGCATGTGTAGTGTGACCTAAGTGTAAGTAGAAGTAGCAAGACGTACCTGAAATCTTACATGTTAATGAGACAGAAAAAAAGGACACCAGCAATCATACCATCATGTAAAACAATTACAGGCTTTCGTTTTACACTCACCTGGCAGGACGGTAGTACCTCCCTGGGCGTTATCTGGCATTTATATGCATTTATTAGTGGAAAATATGGTGTTCTGCTTTCCAGCGGTAGCCTGGAACCTAACCTGCCATATAAGTGGGGCCCTACTGTACTCTGGAGATGAAACTAAAGATAATTGCCCAACATGAAGGTGGCAAGTCCATAATTTGTATTCATTTATTTACTTTTCAATTCTGGTATTTAGTTATTTACAGTAATTATTTGTTTATTTACTCATACAGAGACAGCAGTTATTTATATCATATATGCATATTCAAGACTCCATCATAAGTCGAGGACCACCTGCACTAATTTCTAATTCAATTTAAAGCATTAATATTTCCATACCCGGTCCAGAAGATCTTTCTCAGAGACTTGAACAAGGTCGTGATCGGGGCCGTAGCGAGAACGCATGTAGGTAGTTTGTTCATGTACCAGTTGTCGCAGCAAGAAGAACAATAGTTCGTTGTTGTCTCTCTTGTAAGACAGGTAACGTGAGAAATTCTGTAGTGATACAATGGACAGCCTGTTAGTACATGATACAAGTACTTCTACTGGCATACACTGCAGTACTATTGGAGTGTTGTGGGGCAGAAAAGAACACATTTGACAAGTGTCAGTCTTGTCAGTCAGTCAAAAATTAAGAACAGTAAAGAACGTCAGCAGTTTAACTCTCTCACTAATTCAAATACTGTAGGTACTTACTTCAGAGGACTTCTTCAGGGGACTACTACAGTACTACTTCAGAGGAGCACTACTTCAGAAGCATACTACAGTACTTCAATGAAGTATAAAACAAATTCTAACCACACAACAGAGCAGAAAACTAATGTGAAGGACCTGGGAGTGATAATGTCAAAGAATCTCATCTTCAAAGATCACAGCAATGTCACTATCATATCTGCTAGGAAAATTATTATTTTGAAGCTTCTCATTATCCATCCTATGTTATCATGTCTATTTGTCCAGCTAACACTTAATACTAATTGTTCTGGACAACCATTCATTTCAAATGGCACTTTCAGGACTAATACCACACATTACAGGTTGTCCTCCCTTCCTACAAACAGCACTTCCAGGTATAATGCCACATATTACAGGTAACCTCCTACCAACACCACTTCCAGATATAATACCACATATTACAGGGGGGGTGTAAAGGTAGAAAGTTGAAAGTGAACATAGATAAGAGTAAGGTGATGAGGGTATCAAACGATTTAGGTAAAGAAAAATTGGATATCACATTGGAGGGAGGGAGTATGGAAGAAGTGAATGTTTTGAGATATTTGAGAGTTGACTGGTCAGTGGACGGGTTTATGAAGGATGAGGTTAACTAGAGTTGATGAAGGAAAAAAGGCGAGTGGTGCGTTGAGGTATCCGTTGAGACAAAGAACATTATCCAAGGAGGCAAAGAAGGGGATGTACAAGAGTACAGTGGAACCTTGACTTAAGAGTTTAATCTGTTCCAGGAGCTAGCTCGTAACTCAATTTACTCGTATATTAAATTAATTTTCCTCATTTAAATTAATTGAAAAGCCATTAATTCGTTCCTGCACTCTGGAGAGACGAGAAAAAATACTTGAATATGACGCTATTATCAATTGTACGGCTTGTTTATCTATCACAATTCATCTAGTATGGCATAATAAACAATATAATTAGCAGAGAAACATGAGATATACTCTAGAATGAATAAAATAGGCCATAGTATAGTGGCAGAGGCAGCAGCGGCAGAATCAGCCATTTCTGTCACAATTTGACCATAGTATCTTCCCATGTTCTTACTGTAAGAGAAAGCGGAGTATTTTTGAGGCTAACTGCAGTAGATCACTAGGACCCATGGTTAGAAAAAAGAAATTTGGTCAAATGACTGTAAAAAAAATGCAAACAAGCACGAGAGAACTGCCCCCACAGTGATGTAAACATGTTTACTGCTTACCAGCTGTGCCAACTAGCAGAAGCAATCTGAATTATTATTACGTACGTATTATGCATTATTATTATTATTATTAATTTAGGGAACTGAAGCTATTATTATTATTAATTTAGGGAACTGAAGCTCTATCGTTATTAGAATAATACAGTTGACCGCCACTGAAGAATTGCTGCACAATTTTATGTAACACCTTGTATAATTAATTTAACATGGTTCAGTTTGTGGGAAGGAAAAAAAAATTCTCTTTTGCTCAAGCGGCCACCTTGTTGTGTAGCATCCGGGGAGCCCTCCCACCATCCCCTACCACTCCCCGACACCACCCCCACCATCCCAGCATTCCTAACTCATACCTGTCCAGTCTTTCTCTGCTACAAGGCAGCTGTGTTTGTCAATTGTGTTATGATATTTTAATTACTATATTTTGTATCTACCAAGCAATCATGACACCCAGTAGCCATACTAGTGTTGCTGAAAGTGACATGAAGATATTAAGCAAGAGATAACCTGTAGCCGTAACTGAAGTGTTACTTTGTACACACAAAAAGAGGTTAACATGAGCTTGTGTGACTGACTTACTGAGTGACTAGACTTACTGAATGACTAGACTGACTTACTGAATGACATGACTGACTTACTGAGTGACTTGACTGACTTACTGAATAACTTGACTGACTTACTGAATAACTTGACTAATTAATTAATTTGATATTATTATTATTATTATTATTATATTATTGCTGAGAAGAAAAAGAGAATGATTTCCATGGAATTAAAGCATGAAATCATAGATAAACAAGCGAGGTGTCCAAGTTTTGGGTTGAGGGGGAAGAGGGAGGGGGGAGCCGACTCGTAACTCAGAAAAAAATTGACCCATCCCGTATCTCAAAAAACTTGCAAGTTGGGACACTCGTAAGTCAAGGTTCCACTAATGGTACCAACACTCTTATATGGGTGTGAAGCATGGGTTGTATACAATGCTGCAGTGCGGAGGCGGCCGGAGGCAGTGGAGATGTCGTGTCTAAGGGCAAAGTGTGGTGTAAATACTGTGCACATAATTCGTAGTGCGGAAATTAGGAAAAGGTGTGGAGTTACTAAAAGTATTAGTCAGAGGGCTGAAGAGGGGCTGTTGAAGTGGTCTGGTCATTTAGAAAGAATGGAACAAAGTAGAATGACTTGGAGAGCGTATAAATCTATCGAGGAAGGAAGGCGGAGTAGGGGTCATCCCCGAAAAGGTTAGAGGGAAGGGGTAAAGGAGGTTTTGTAGGCAAGGGGCTTGGATTTCCAGCAACTGTGCATGAGCATGTTAGATAGGAGTGAATGGAGACGAATGGTTTTTGGGACCTGACGAGCTGTCGGAATGTGAGCAGGGTAATGTTTTGCGAAGGGATTCAGGGAAACTGGTTAGCTGGACTTGAGTCTTGAAAATGGGAAGTACAATACCCACACTTTAAAGGAGGGGTTTGGGATATTGGCAGTTTGGAGGGACATCTAAACTGTCATATCTGAGCACCTATGCAAAGACAGTGATTATGTATGAGTGATGGTGAAAGTGTTGAATGATGAAATTTTTTTTCTTTCTTTTTGGGTTTCTCTTTCTTTTCAGGTCTCCTTGCCTTGCTGGGAAACTGCCAATGTCTTAAAAAAAAAAAGAAACTTTAATATCTACTTATTGGGCAAGATCTGGTGTGTGTTAATAATACTATAGGCAGGTTGTGACAATGTCAGAGATCAGTACTGCTGGTAACAGTGCTGGTGCTTGTTCACCACAACTTACAAATGGCAAAGAAAGTATTACAGTAAGAATTATTATAAACAGAAGAAAGTGTACACTGAATGTAAGTAGAAATTTGTGAGATTGACCCGTTATCTTACATGTTATATGACAAAAATACTAGTAGCCCTGCCAGAGTGCAAAAACACTGAACTGATTTTATATATTGAATGTAAGTAGACATTTGTTAGATTACCTCTCATCTTACATGTTCATGAGACAAAGAATGACCCATCATCTTGCCAGTGTATGAAACATTTTACAAGCTTCCCTTGAAGTTTCTGGTTCAGAGATGAATATTTACATGATGTCACCTTGCATGTTCACGAGACAAAAGATCAGATGGTTCTATCATATATATTTTTTAAAATACACTGGTTGTCTCCCACTGAGGTTGGGTGACCTGAAAAAGAAACTTACACCATCATTCACACTATCACTGTTGCCGGAGATGCACAGATACAACAGTTAAGATATCACTCTAAACAACAAATATTTGTAATCCCTTCTTCAGAGTGCAGGCACTGCAATTCCCACCTCCAGGACTCAAGTCCAGCTAACCAGTTTCCCTGAATCATTTCACAAACTGTTATCTTGCTCACTCTTCAACAGCTCCTCAGTTCTTCTAGTATAATAAATGTGTTGTTATACCACCCACCTGGTGACACGAACAGGAAAACCATAGTATATTTATATTTTGATTTAGTTCAAGGTACAACCCAAGATAATCTTCTAAGTCAAAATATAAACATACTTTGGTTTACCTATTTGTGTTACCATAAGTATGTTAAACCATGATGACATTACACATCCTGTCTAAGACCTACTTTTACTGGGAAGTAAGTCTGTTAGTATACCTGGTAAAGTGTATGGTAGAGTTATTAATGAAAGAATTAAAAGGAAGACAGAAAAGGTAGGGGATGTGTAGACCAAGTGTTTCCAGTGAAACATAGGTGAACAGTATTTAGATAAGGGTAAAGAGGTTTTTATAGCCTTTATGTATTTGGAAAAGGCATATGACAGGGTGGATGGGGGGCAATGTGGCAGATGTTGCAGGTGTATGGAATAGGAGGTAGGTTACTAAAAGCAGGGAAGAGTTTTTACGAAGATAGTGAGGCTCAGGTTAGAGAATGTAGTAGAGGGAGATTATTTCCTAGTAAAAGGAGGCCTTACACAAGGATGTGATGCCACCATGGTTGTTCAATATATTTATAGGTGGGGTTGTAAGAGAAGTGAATGTGCGGGTTTTGGCACGAGGTGTGGGGTTAAAAGATAAAGAATAACACAAAGTGGGAGTTGTCACAGTTGCTCTTTGCTGATGACACTATGCTTCTGGGAGATTCTGAAAAGAAGCTGCAGAGGTTGGTGGATGAGTTTGTAGGGTAAAGTAAAG